TATGGGGCCAATGAAGAGAGAGCTTGGAGGGAAGCTTTCTTCCAACATCGTGGATGACTCCTGGGTTTTTTCATGCAAACAAATCCACCTCACAATGATCCGCTGCCCCTCGAGGAAGCTTTCCTGAACTCCGCTCACGAAGCACAGAACCCGGCAGAGAGCTCAACCCAGAACGGCCCAAGACAAGCAGGGCTGTCCTGCGAACGTGGCCGAAATCCTAGGTGAAAGAGCATCTGCGCAAACGGAGCCAACACACAGACCTAAGGTATTAAAGTATGACGTTTGCCCCTAATGTGGAGCAGCACTTTGAAACGATACGAGTTAACCCCAGATGCGTTGATGACTCCTGGGTTGACACTGGTCCTCCCCCTCCTCCTCCTCCTCCTCCTGTGTTGCTCCTCCTGGTCCTCCTGCTCCTCCTGCGCGCGCGCGGATTTGCTCCGCAGTCGTCACTGTGATCGCGAGCCAGCGGACCCCCCCGCCGCCACTCAGACAGGGCGGCTCCCCCCGCCCCCGCCGCCCTCCGGAGCTCCTCGTAAGTCGGGCCTGCCCCCTCCTGCTCCTCTTAAGTCGTGCCTGCCCCTCTACAGGAGGAATATTCAAAAATAGTATAGAATTACTCATTGCGTGGAGCTCCCCATATGTGCATCTCATGTTTTATGTCATGCCATAGCGAGCGTCTGTTCATGAGCGTCCTACCCCCTGGCAGCTCCCCGTAGGGGTGCTGAAACCAGCGCCCCGCCTGAGACATCCTCACAATCTGCTCTGAAAGCAAAAAGGATGTTGGGCATGAAAACGAGCAAACCGCCTAAGACATCATCCCCACAAACTGGCCGCGAACGGGCCGGTGAGAACACCCCTGGCGGCTCCCCTTAGGGGTGCTGCAACCCGCCCCCCCGCCTGAGACATCCTCACAATCTGCTCTGAAAGCAAAGGATGTTGGGCATGAAAACGAGCAAACCGCCTGAGACATCCCCACAAACTGGCCGCGAACGGGCCCGTGAGAACACCCCTGGCGGCTCCCCTTAGGGGTGCTGCAACCAGCGCCCCGCCTGAGACATCCTCACAATCTGCTCTGAAAGCAAAGGATGCTGGGCATGAAAACGAGCAAACCGCCTGAGACATCATCCCCACAAACTGGCCGCGAACGGGCCCGTGAGAACACCCCTGGCGGCTCCCCTTAGGGGTGCTGAAGCCAGCGCCCCGCCTGAGACATCCTCAGAATCTGCCGTGCTTTGAGCAACTCAGACTAAGAGAAGGTATGAAAATGTGTAGGTCTGAGTATGAGTAGGTCGGAGTATGAGCAAGTCTGTGAATGAGGAAGTCTGGGTATGAGTAAGTCTGAGTATAAGTAAGACTGTGTATGAGTACGTTTGGGTATGAGTAAGACTGAGTATGAGTAAGTCTGTGCATGAGTAAGTCTGTGTTCTGGGTGTGTTCTTGTTCTCTGGAGTCGGCGGCGTCCAAAAAAAAAAGAACCCCATCTTAGGATATGGGAAAACAATAGCCTGGGGACGAATGTGTGACAATTGTTGATAATTAAAAAATTTCATGTATGTGTTGCCTCTTTATTATGTCGCCCAACATCCCCCTGTAGGGGGACACGCCCGCCCTGAGAGCACCTCCTCCTCCTCCTGCTGCTGCTGCTCGTGCTCCCGCGAGGGAGCGGCGCCCTCCTCCTCCTCCTCCTCCTCCTCCTCCTCCTCCTCCTGCTCCTCCTCCTGCGCCTCCTCCTCCTCATCCTCCTCCTCCTCCTCCTGCTGCTGCTCGTTCTCCGCGAGGGAGCGGCGCTCCTCCTCCTCCTCCTCTCCTCCTCCTCCTCTCCTCCTCCTGCGCCTCCTCTCCTCCTCCCCCTCCTCCTTCCTCCCCCTCCTCCTCCTCCTCCTGCTCGTGCTCCCGCGAGGGCGCGGCGCCCGTGTGCACCCGCGCCGTGCCCGGCCTGCCTCCGGGGGGGCCCCCCGCTCCAAGAGGTGCGCGCGGCACGGTGCGCGGGCTCTCCTTCGGCCCCGCGGGCCGAGCACGCAGCGGCGGCCCCTCACTATAGGCGGCGAGCCAGGGGGGGGGGGGGGAAAGCTCCTCCTCCTCCTCCCTCCTCCTCTCCTCCTCCTCCTCCCTCCCTCCTCCTCCTCCTCCTCCTCCTCCTCCTCCTCGGAAGCATCGGGGTAGGGGGCCACGTGCGAGCCCTACCCCCACCCCCACGATTTCTGAAGGGGGAGGGTGGGGCTCACTTCGCTCGGGAGCTCCCGAGCGAAGTGAACCCCCACCCTCCCCCTTCAGAAATCGTGGGGGGTGGGGGCAGGGCTCGCACGTGGCCCCCTAATCGGAAGTCCCCCGGACTTCTGAAGAAGGTTCTTCAGCCTTCCCCGAAGGCACGGAAGGCTTCTCGGAAGGCGCGAGGGCTTCTCCTCCTGAGAGGGCCTCCTCCCTCCGAGAGAGCGCGAGGGCTTCTGGGAGGCCCCGCCGCCTTCTGGGAGGGCCGACTCCTTCTCGGTTTCCCCCC